CCATCATTCCTGGAAATCCCTCTGACCCACTGGAAAATTAGGAAATGCAATGCTGGAAAGTATCAAAAGGAAGTTTATTTCTTGGAAATGAACTGTTTCTGCCCAGCCACGGGAGGAAATCCTAAATCTGTCGCAGAGAATTAAATTTCCATCCTTGCAGCCAAGGGATTTCCCTGGACTCTTTCCCTTCTCCCTGCAGCCAACCAGGAGGGAAGAAATGAGGCAGCAGCAGAAAAATTCCTTTGTTTTGGTTTCAGCCCAACTCAGGGACAAACTGGAGAGAGATTTCCAATCCTAAAACTAAACTTACAGCCAAAAATAATCCTGAACACTTCCTTCATGTCTCTTCCCTGCCCTTAAATCTCCTTTATTTCCCAGTTCTCCTGGGAATGCTCAGGTGGATCATTCTCTCCCTGCCTCGTGCCACAATTCCAGAGCTGTTTCCCATTGGAAATCAAAACTGAAAGTGGTTTCAGAAAGGGGAATGGACGCTGGGGAATGGAGCTGTGGGCTGTGCCTGCTGCAGGAATCTCATCCTGGCGTTTTCTCATTCGTGGAGCTGCACTTTGGACTCCAGGAATGCATTTCCTTCATGGGCAGGAATTCCCCCAAATTCTTGGGTCTGATTGGGATCACCAAGCCTGCAGTGGGTGTGGGATCAGTGCTCCCTTCCAGCCCCTCCTGTTCCCTGAGCATTCCTTGGGAACAGGGACGTGCCCAGATCAGAGGCACAAACAGGACAAGAGCAGCCAGGAAAAGGAATTTCATGGAATTTGGATTCCTGCTGCTTCCCAAGCTTTTTGGGAACTGTCAGCTGCCACTTTGCTGTCACCTCTGGAGGATGGGAATGAACCTTTCATTTCTGTGGTGTCCAATGGGAATGTTGTGGGGATGGATTCATCCCAATCCAGTCCTTCCCAGAGACATCTAATTCAAGAATCCACTGCTCTGAGTGTTATTTTCTATATAAAATATATTTATTTATACATAAAAATAGAGAGCTGCCTTTTCTGGAGTGTAAGGAAACAAGTGGAGAAAACCTGGATAAGGAAACAAGTGGAGAAAAAAACCTGCTAATGGATAAAAGGAAAAACACACACAGGAAAATATTCCCTAAATTGTGTTATTTGCTCCTTGGTGGTGTCTGTGGAGAGACTGTTCCAGCTTGGATTCCCTGTGGGGATCAGGATCCAGAGCTGGGATTGGTGCTGGAAGTGCTTCCAAAGGATCCCTGAACTGTGTGTGAGGGTGGGATGGTCCCAACCCCTTTGGCTCTGGCTCAGTGCCTGGAAAAGAGCAGGAAAGGGATGAGGATGTGGGGGGATGCTTGGCTGGATCCTTCCCAAACATTTTCTGGGGTCTGGGACAAAGCAGGGAAAGGGATGAGGATGTGGGGGGATGCTTGGCTGGGTCACTCCATCCAGTTCCTGGGATTTGGGACAATTTGTGGACAAAGCCAGGAAAGGGATGAGGATGTGAGGGGATGCTTGGCTGGATCCTTCTCCAAACATTTTCTGGGATTTGGGACAAAGCCAGGAAAGGGATGGGATTTATCCAGCTAATCCAACTCTATCCTTGCTCTGGACAGGGAATGGGAATTACCTGGGGCAGGGCAGCTCAGCTTCATCCCAAAGCCCATCCCAACATCCCAACCCTCTCCCTGCTCACCACCAGGGTCAGTTCCCCCAAATCCCAGCTGCCAGTGCAGGACACCCACCCACCTTTGGGATCATCCATGGGACTCATCCATGCTCAGGCTGGGAAAAGCAGCCACACATCCCTGGCTGCTCCGTGTGCTCTGCCACCCCTCAGGGGAGCTTCCAGAATTCCATCCCAGCATCCCTGGGGATGCTGGGAGCCCCAGGTGTCCCCAGGGTGGGTGCTCAGCCCGTGGGGACAATGACAGCAGGTGCCACCTCCTCGTTCCCA